GTGCAGCCAGCTTTCCCAAGGGTTGCCAGGCAGGCCTGGTGATGCTCGGTCCCCTTTGCACCTTCCCCTTTAAAAGCAGCTTCTGGGTTGCAGCAAGTTGCTGAAGCTCAGAGGCAAAAGTGTAGCAAGCCCCTGGTAGGTGGCATTGGTCCCTGGCACAGTGTGAGCCCCCTTCCTCCCCCTCCCCAGTTCTGGCATGACATGAAAAGTTAGCGGCAGCTACTAGGTTTGCAGTAGTATTTCAAGTCCTAGGAGAGCATTAGTGAGCAAGTGAAACAGGGCTGCTTCTTGAGGGGTGTTTTTTTTTTTTTAAGTGCATCCCTGTAGATAAAGTTTTCATTAAATTTCCCTCCATGTAGACAGGCAGTGATGGAGGGGAAAGTACACCCAGCAGCAGCAAAAGGCTTGCTTAGCTTATGATCCTGACACTTCAGCAGGGTTTTTGTTCGGTTTTTTTGGGGGGAGATGAAAAAAGCCTGGTCGTCTTCAAAGCTGCATGTGGATTTAAGCCTGGGACAACTGCAACAGTCCAGCTAAAGGGGAAAAATACACCCGCTCAGGCAAGCTAGCTCTGGGGATGCTCTGCATGATCCATTTCCGAGGAGATTGCACCTTTGCAGCAGAACGAACTGGCGCCGTTCTGCTCTGTATAACCGACATTCATTTCTCACTCAGGCTTGCAGGATTCTGGCCTTGACCCTGTTCTCCGGGGTAAAATTCCCATTGGCTTGAACAGGTTCCTATAGCCCCCCCTCGCTTTTAGGCAGGCACTTCTCCTCCTGATGTCAATGGGAGCCTTGCCTAAGAGAATTTGGCCCTGTATGTCAAAAGGGATACTTGGTTCTTAATCTCCACCTCATTAACAATGGCCTATTTCTGCCACAGTCCTGTGGCTCTTTCTCATTTATTAGTGGAATTGCAAAGAACATTCATGTGACTGGCTTTGCAAGATGTGCACCCTTAAATATAGTGGAGGGTAATAGGGGGGAATAAAAGCCCCAAACCCTAAGCCTTCTCAATTTTATTTTAATGAAATATAACCCTCTTCCCTAACATGCAGGATTCCACTGGGTGGAGCGAAATAATATTTTTGTGTTTGAGCTGCAGCGGCTGCCCTGCCTGAGAAATTTCACACTGGACCACAAAGGGGGGGGGGAACATGGGGAAAATATTTGAGTGACACTGGTGTATTTTTCTTGAACTCTGCAACACGACTGTGAAGAAGCTTGGAGAAAAGCAAAACAATCCTTTTTGGCCAGTAGCAGCGTGTTGCTTTATTTATTAGAAAGCCCCTCTCACATTTTTATTCTCCCCAAATAAATGCTCTACATTAAGAAAAAAAACAAACTCTTGCTAAAAATAGTGGTTTAAAAAAGAACGTGCCCCAGTCTTTCCCCTCCCCCCCTCCCCATACTTTTGCACAGCTGCTTCATGTCCCTGTGGGTTGTTTTTTTTTCCGCTGCAGTGTGTAGGAAGTTCTTGATCAAGAATCATTCATAATTTTTAATGCCAGTTTCTATTTGCCATAATATACTAATATCAGATACAGAGGGCTTGCTGCTTCCTGGATTTAGGGAGGAAATTATGCATATGTCAGAATTATCTGTTCAGATGCCAGAACTACATTGGTGTCATTTCACCATGTGCTGCATTGAAAGGAAATCCTTTATATTTATTGCTAAGATCATCAGAGAAACTAAATGGGCTCACTGTTTCTGACACCTGTTTGGACGATGGGGTTGAAGGATTCCACACGCACAAAAATGTCCTCACTTCAGGGCACTAGTGCAGGTTTTTAATGAACTTTCTCTCCCCTTTTAAACGCACTAAGGGCATGGTGTTAGTGGATGCCACCGAGCACGGACATTCCCAGGGTAGCTATGGCAAATGCGTGATGTTTGGTTCCTTAACATAAACCCAGCCTTGGACACACACTCAAGTTGTCTGCACCCAAATACTTCAGGTATCAATTTTAAGCGCACATCTTGTTATAAATAACACAGAGGGGAGCACGAACAGGGCCCAGGGAGGCAGGGAGGGTGTTTAAAGAAGTCTTTTTCTCCTCCCCACCCCTGGCTGAGACGGGAGCGCTCTGTCCAGTTTGAATGCTCTTTCTAATGAACGTTTCAGGCTGGGCAAAGCCGCAGATTAAAAATAACGCGCTCTGGGCCCTGCGGGGCAACAATTGCAGAAGGACCCAAAATAACACCCCCTTGGCCGTTCAGATTTGGGAGCCAACGCAATGCAAATCCCCCGGGCCGCATCTCCCAAACTTTCCCAAGAGGGGAAGCGATGCCAGCGCTTGCTGGCCTGGCGCCGCAGGCGTCAAGCGCAGGGCCTGGCGGGCTCTCGCCCCCTCTCCGGGCGCTGGGGCACCGTCGCTCCCTGCACATTTGCTTCCTTCTGATTTTAATTTGGTTTTCCCCAGCTGCCTGGGTGGGGCTGTCTTGTGGCAGTGACACAGGTGGGCCCGGAGGTGCATCCCCCCGCCCAGCAATGCAAAAAAGACACCCCCCCGCCGCTGCCCACCTCCCTCCTCCGAGCAGCTGGGGGGGCCCTGTCTGCACCAGAGGCAAGGCGGCCCTGGCGGGGATGCAGGCGCTGCGGCGCCGGCGGCTGGACCGGGATGGGGACGCGGGGGGTGGGGGGCGGCAGTTGGTCCCTAACGCACCCCCGCCCCATGCGAAGTGTGCCCGCTGCAGCCCCCCGCCCCGCCGGCGAGCAGAGGGAGCGGGACCCCGGACCCTGCCGCGCCGGCCCCGGCACTGCCCGGCCTGAGGTACGTGCCGCTGCCCGCGCCCGCCTCTCTCCTCGGCCCAGCTCCGCCGGGCAGGCCGCGCAGCAGAGCGAGGCCCTCAAGTCTCCCGCCCGAGACACCCTCCCGGGGATACCCCCACAAGGTAAAGAACTGCCCCACAGCCCCTCTGCCAGCCCGCCTGCCCCCTAAATGTAGTTTAGTGCCCCCCCCCACGCGGTAACGCGGGCGCACGGGCCTTGTGGGTGACGTTTACTGCGCAGTGGCCTGGTGCTACGAGGCAGCGCTGTTGGCCTGGTTCTGCTGCCCCGCGGTGTTATTAGGCGCATCTCCAGGAGACGCTTCGTGTGCAGCTTCCAGCCTGTTTCGGGCGGTTTTGCCAGGGAGGAGGAACAGGTTCCCGTTGCTGGCGGGGGCGAGGCGATGCCCTTGGGTAGAAGGAGGTCCGGACAAGGTCTCGCAACCCCATGTTGGTGGCAGGCCGGTGTCCTGTGCGCGGTCTTCAGACTGCCTCTATTTTACAAAGAGCACCTTAGAGGAGAGGGAAGGGATTTGCTGGTAACTCGCATGCACCAACTTTCTCAATTCCCCCCCCCAAAAGAAAAGCTGTATCTGTCAGACTCGCTGAATTCATACCCTCTGCTTCGTGCCTCTGCCCTGCCTTAGCGCTCTCTTTCTGGGAATATTGCCTTGTGTTAACAACGACCTTCATAGTCAAATAAACCTATTAAATGAATGGGTGCACCTTGCCCGGGAAAGAGGTGCTCGCTCCCTTTTTTTCCTTTTAGAGACCAGTTGTGGTTTCGAGAAGGGGTAGCCTCATCAAAGGCTGAGCGAGACGACAGCAGCCTGACTACAACATTTATTTATTTTTGGGGGGTGCTTTTCAGGTGTGAGAATTGAATATCTCTGGCCTCCCCACTGAATGCATTAATAACAGGATGGATTCACCGATTGGCATAAAAGGAGAGGTCATGGTGAGGAAAATGACACCAAAGGTCTAAAAGAGTCCTTTGGTTTGAGAGATCCTGGGCAGAATGCCAAATATTACATTTAAAAAGGCACTGTCCCTTTTCTCCAAAACTATCGAGAGAGGTTCGCCAGGATGATTAGCAAGGCAGACGCGCTGGCTGGAAAAGCCATCGTCGGACACACTGCGCTGCTACGAGCGTGTTTGTGCATGCCTGCGTATGCGTGTCTGTATTGAAACATTTCCAAATAGGAATGATCTAATGTAAAATTTCCCACTACAAGGAAACATTGTTTTAAGTGGCATGCATGAAAATATTTAAATATGCCATGCTGTTCAATTTGATGTCAGAAGGGCTCTGTACATTGTGGAGGAGTAATTTAGTTGGCACAAAATGTACAGCTGACTCTTTCTAAAGCTGTACAGCTGTTTTGCAAGCAAATGCCAAGTCAACCTATAGACTGCCTTGCTTTTTTCAATTAAAATATATCAGACATGCAGTTTCTCTTTGCTCTGGCATGCGATGTGACAAAAAGTAGATGTATCTGCAGATACAGTTCTTGCAGAAGATTTGCTGTATGTGTAAGTACATAGAGAGTGCATCTATTGTAAGAGAAAGCTGGATGTAGCGACACAACAACATATCCGTATTTAAGCAGCGTAGATTGACTCGCTGGTTTATCTCACTTATTGTCCAAAGACTCGTTGCAACTGTGTGGAATTTTTTTTTTAAATTAGATTTTAAATACATTCTGACAATCTGAACCTGTACGTTGTGAGTAACCGCAGGGAGAAATGACAGCTCTGCTTTTGTTATTAAACTCCTGTCTGGAAAATAATGGACTATGTACAGAACTTGATAATTATTTTGCCCATTACATTAGCCCAGCTAATAAGAAAGATTTTTTAAACTGTATTATTGAAAGCTAAGTATTTCCAATTATTATAGTTTGATATTTGCTCTTGAGACAAAAATTGTGTTTTGTTTTAATAAGACATTTTCCTACCACTAAGATCCTCCTGCTATTAATTTTGTATAAAGTCCGGGGTGGGGGAGGAAGGGGGGAAGCTATATTCTGCTTAAAAAAACCCAAAAAACTTTTCCTTAAGTTCATCAGCACTAAAATGCTGGTCCTCAATATTGCCCAAGACCTTCAAAAATTAAATTTGCATCCAATGCAGACAATGCTGCTCTGTACAAAACACACATTTGACGGTATTTTTAAATGCTTTCTTAGTAACGGTGTGTTTATTTTAATATATTTACAAAATTAGGTACCCGAGAGAATCTTCTACATCGGTGATGTGAAAACCCCTGTTGCCTGAGGTCAAAAAAGGTACATTTTGATTTTCATTTGCATATTTGGGGAGAAATGTGCTTTCTTTCTCTTGCTTTCTGTCTCTCTATCTCTGTCTCTGTTACTACTAACATGAAGCTTAAGCTAATACCTATGGCATTTGGTGAGAATATTCCAGTTTACTTCCCTGGCTTTTGCATTGGGCATCCATTCAGATGTGCGAAAGAATATGTCATGGGTGTCTGTTCAGCTCTCGTTTACCAGCAGGTCTCCTGCTCATCATAATTCTTATTTTATCCCTTGCAAATGTGTTTTCTTTTTGCCTTCAAATGTGATCATGTAGATGCCAGCTGCGGAGGTTAAGAGTGAATCTTCCCGAAGATCTGTCTCAAATCATGATGAAAATAATGGGGCTTTGTGTCAGTTTATATCCGTACCCGGAATTTCCAATAGAATCTAATGCATATTAGATGGCTTCTGGCTTCCTCTCAATATTCACATTCATCCCGCATTTACAAAATATACAACACTAATGAAAATAACGGAGATAACATTTTTACTCACTTTGCCCCCCTTCCAATCCAGATAGATGATCCACTTATTAACTGAAGCAAGTTTATGGGATCTGTTTGTTTAGGGCGGGGGTTGGGTTGTTTTTTTTCCAGGGATTCAAATATATTAAGTAATTTTTAAATAGATGTTTTGGTCACAGTTGTCCCTGTATTAATTTAATTTTGAAATCTCTAGTTTTAATTGAGATGATGGACCACTGCATTTACATCAGCAAAGAAATAGTGTTAAAATGGAGCAATGTTAGATAATGTAACTAAGATTTTAATTTAAAATTGTGCTCTCTGAGTAGGAGCAGGACGTGATCATAAGGCCCTTAAACAAGTTGCACTGCTGCTAACATGCACAAGAGCCTGGCTGGGTATGAACTGGAGGATTGGGTCCCGGGAAATTTTGGGGGCTGATTCCTCCCTCATGTACACGGGTTACACAGAGGTATAATTTTATGGAGGTCAGGGGAACTACTCCTGCTTTGCACTGGCGCAGAAGAGAATTGAGCCCTCACTCTGTTCGGGGCCCTTCAAAGCAGCTATCATGTTATGTGATCAGAAAGCATATCTGGATTCGGCTTTAATAAGGATTCACATTCAAACTATTATCCCTGTGCAGGTTCAATATGTTTTCCATCAGCTCACTGCTAGCACAAGTGCTTGCCTTCTAAATACCCAGCAAATGATCCTTGCTAATTCTTTCCCAGTATTTAGAGACATTTCAGAATTGAAGCTTTTGAGGTAATTCACATTTGCAATAACAGGACACGTTACATCTGGGAAAGCTGCATTCCTTCCCATACTTTATGGTAACCCAGGTGGGACTTGTTGAAAAAACAAACAAACAGTGGCTGGTTCTGTTACTTTTAAGCAAATAGATACTGGGTCTTGGAAGAGTTAACAAACTTTTATGGCAAGGTTCAGATTGTACTGACCCCTATGGTAATATTTCATCTAAGGTTACTGTTGGGAGAGAAATCAAATTTCAGCTACAAACATGATTGACAGGTGAAAGCAAGAAAGAGAAAGACATCTGGTCAGATGGGGAATTTGGGAAGGAGAAGGACAATTTGGGGAAGTTTCTTTGTGATATTAGGAATAATAAGCTTATATATGAAAACTCCAATACTTTACATTCTCTGGAGGTTCACTTAGATTATTCGCAGAAAGTAAGTTTGGTTAAGGGAATTTTTGGACTGTAGTAGTGGTCAGTGGCGCTCTTGCTAACTTGATTTCTTTGAAAGACTTATGTTATTTCTGGCATATTTTTAGCATTTCAGGCAATTAATTTTATTCATGTGACTAGAATCTAATAGCTGTCGGTTAAGAAGCAGTCACTATAATGTCTCTTTTGGGCCAATGCCATCTCGATGATGGGCCAAAGAAACTCTTGCTGTAATTCTACGCATTTGATCCTGGGGAAGTCATTGGGAGTTTTCCAGAGCAAGCATGTTCTGAATATATGTTGCTGTATTACTAATGAAATGAATAGGTATCTCATAAAACATCATCCTGAGTACACTGTGGCATTTTATGAGATAAATATTAAATCCAAAGGGTTGTTTTATTGGCTTTAATTCGCATGCCAAACTCCTTCTGGTATTAGTGGGTAGCTTGCAGGCTGAAGGGTGGCCTTGGACCCCAACTGGTCTTTTTACTTTAGGGTTTCCTGTTTCCTTATATATGGGGCTGCAAAGTTTCTGTTTCTAACATTTGGGACTCTACAATAAGAAACAAATATGCCACATAGAGGGCCAAATTATACCCACTGACTTGTCCAAGATTCTTATGGACATCAGTGGGGTTTGGGCTCTTGAAAATACGTATCGAAAGACCTGTGCCCAGAAGCTTGCAAAGAACAATTTTTCCAATTATTCAGTTGGCCTAATAAAAGATATCACATTTACCCAAGTAACCACATCTGCCTATGCCCTTAGACCAGCACAGCTACAACCAGCCCCCCTGAAAGTACATAGGTTCTCACACAAGGTAAACTGCAAGAAATTAATTTTTTAGATACTTTATAAAATTGTCGGAACATTTTTTTCCTGTAACAAAATAAAGATGAAGATTTTTTTGTTGGGGTATTTTGAAGACTGCTTGAGAAAACTTTGGAAGGATGAAGTAGCTGTTGAACAGAATAGGGAGACGTATCCTCTTGTTTGGAGTGCAGATGGACAACATGTAGTTTATATCAGGTGCAATTCTGGCCCAGCTCCCACTGGCTTCATGGGATGGGCCTTGTGCCTAGTGGCTGATTTATATGGGAGTTATCCTGGCATAAGGCACAGGGTGAATTTACACAACTGTGGTTATGCTGGTATACTTCCCGAGTTAGATGTTCTGATTCTCAACCAACAATGACTTTTCCAGATCAGCCAACGAAAGGGAACAATCTGTTTTTACCCCAGAGTGTGTTTGTCTACTTGAGTTAGACTGGTATGGTTTCACCACTTAATTTTCCCATGTGGACAAGCCCTAAAGCTACAGAGAAAATAAGGAGCAGTACAGGCCACAGATCTCTTTCTTTTCCTTTTGCAGTTCACTTTTTAAAGTGTTTTTTTTCATGCGTGGAGGGTGCATCTACATGTGCATATTAATGTGACACAATAAATTCTGGCACATATATTTCAACATCTACACGTGCGGTGCTGCACAGTAAAAATCTTTACAGCGGGATAGTACTTGTATTTAAAAGTACTTACCCTGCTGTGGCATTTATTCGTTTATTCCAGCCTAATATCAGTGCACATTTAGATGCTGAGATGTTTAATGTGAAGCTAATTAGGTAACTCCACAAACATCTCATGTAGACATGCCCAGAACATCTTAAAATGCACATCCGTTACCTTTCTCTTTTCTCTTGCTCTTCTCTCCACCCAGCCAGCCAGCCACATAGAGCAAAAGAAATCTGTTTGCATAAGAATCTGTTCTGTATTCCTGTCCACTTTTAGTCCACAGGGAAATCAGGTTGTTTGTTATGACGTCATCTCTCTTTACATGGCAACAGCCTGTGATGTCAGACACCAGTTTAAGATTTCAGTTCAGGCAGATGAAGCTTGACCTTAGTGGCAGATTGTTTTCCTCTTTTTGTCCTGTCCCCCCTCCTCACCTGGGGCCATATATTTGCTATAATGGAAAGAGAATATGGGCCATAAATAATCAGCCAAAACTGTATGCAAGAATGAGTTCTCTTTACATTTTCCCTAGTACATTAGTAACTTTTCAATTTGACTATATTTTACTAAATTCTTTATTATCCGTACAACTTGCACGAAAGCTCATTGGCCAAATTCCCATTGAAGACAATAGGAGTCATGTATATGCATAAGTGTACATATTTATATTAGGCCAAACGGGAATGCTTTGTTTCCAAAGGAAGTTATTTTGTTACATTAGCCAAGAAAGAGTAGAAAAAAACACCACATACCATTTATAGGATGTTGTACAGATGATCCCCCTAGGCAAAAAAAAAAAAAGAAGATCTTCCAGTATTTGGAAAGTTTACAGTTTCATTAAGTGTGAAAATTTATTGTCCCATCTCGTCCATGTTAATCTGACAAGAGAGTGAAATCATCTTGTGTCCTTAGATGCAAAAAAGTAGGTTGATGCCCTGATTTGGCAGCCCTTATTCAGGTAAAACTCCTGTCAAAGTCCTATAATTAGTTTTGTCTGATTATGGAATTAAGCCCTAAACCACCTTTGTCGGGGTGTGACTGAAGCAGCTGTTAACTGCAATATAACTTTTTAATTAAAGTGCTAGGAGATAAGATCTTTTCTTTGGGTTTTGCAACTTTTGGCAATTGCCAATGATCCACCCGTTTTCACAGTACAGTTTATTTTATATTGATCAGAAACTGATTGATGTAATGCTGCCCGTTTGAAGGGTATTCCTCATGCTTCCACGTAGGGACAGTGCTTGGACGAAGGGACTGAAAGGCAGGACTATTGAGTTCTAGTCTGATACTAGTGATTTGCTGCGTGACCTTGATCAAGTTGCCTGGTTTCTGGTTCAGCAGAGTGTTTAAGCCTGCGTCTAGCTTGCAGCCCAAGTAGGTAGCATCGTTGCCTTCATCCAGAGTTGAGATGCCTTTGACGGCTCAATGCCTCCGTTTTACCCGATGCTAACACGAGGTTAATCATTCTTACCTTCTAAAGACTTTGTGAGAATTAAGAAACATGTATAGGGCTCTTTGATGCTGTCTAATGCATGATGATCTATACAGATATCTGCCAATTCTGGTTGCCTTGTGTCCTTATTTCATCTCTTTGGGTGAAATTCATGCCCGCGCAGCAAGCCGGAGCGCAGCCTTTGCTTCTGCGAAGTTCCACAGACATTCTCAAAATAGCACCGCTGTAGCAATTGTGCAGGTCCTCAGAGGTGAATTCCACCCTCTGAGTACAAAGGAAAGTTTGGGTGAAGATCTCTGAGCAGGCCACAAATAGCTGGGACTTTTTCTGAAAGACAGATTGAAAAGA